ACCCTGGTCTTTTCCATCCTCCTGAGACTTCACATTCCACCTCCCATAACCTTGCACAGCAGTCCCACTCCCCCCAGCTTCTGGATGGAACACAACTCAGATGAATCTGCAGGATTTTTCCAAGTTACACTTGTGCTGACAGCTACCAAACACTAGCCTGGGTCTCCAGACAGTTGCCAGTTTTCACAAAACTAGTAGATTAACTAAATATTGAGGGATTAATGTTCAATTATCATCTTCATGTTTCTTATTTCATTTTCCATAATTAAATGTTAGATTTTGATAAGATACATTATCTCTAGACTACTAGTGTTGCATAACAGTTTAATTTTATGTGATCTTACCACGCAGATTTAACTACCTTTTGCAGTTAATGTCTTGGCTTATATTGTGGTGGTCTGGGCAGTGCTGGGTTAACAGCTGGACTTGGTGCACTCCTAAAAGTTTTTTATAACCTAAACAATTCTATGATCTTTGAGTTTTGTAAAAGTTGCTCAAGAAATACTGAGAAGGCAAGAGAGTAGAATGGAAGGTTTGTGTGAAAAACTGGACTAGAAGTGTGAAACTATGATTAGAATTACCACTTGACAATTACCTCTAAGGTATCTTGAAGACCATACTTAGAAATACATCCTGCTTTCAGTTTTAAACCTCTAAATCCTTCCTTTTGACTCTCACACAGACTGAATGGGAGAGAAAAACCTTTTGCAACACGGCTGCAAAAATCTTTGCATCTATCCATGCACTCACCCTTACATTATTGCTATCCCTGGGACCAGAGAATTTAGAAACCTTCAGAATACATAAATTCTATACCAGCCCTAATACCACAGACAGGCTGGCAGCCCAGGGTGTTTGTATATATATGTATTTGGAAGTTCCAAGTAGTTTTGCATAGTCTATCCCGAAACACAAAAAAAACCCCACCCACAGTGTCACAGCCTTCCCTGCTACTGTTGGCCAGAGCTACCTAAATATATTTTAATTACACTTTGGACTGCAATTGTAGATTGAGTTGATTGTTTGCTTGAAGAGCTCAGGAGCAAAGGAGGATCATTCTGCCTGTTTCAGAACTTCCATTTAGTTATTGCAAATAAATTTCCAAACAACTCAAAGAGGTTTGTTACAGCAACATTCCACTTCCCAGACTCCTGCAAGGGCTCAGCTTTCAGCAAGGCTGCAGGGCACGTGATGTTAAAACTGTAGCTCTACATTATCTCATGCCACTTTAAAGTGTTACTATGAGCATTTTAACAACCCACAATTAAAACCTCTAAGTAACCTGCCACAATCAATTTACTGCAGACGTTCTCAGCACTGGTTTACAACGAGAAACAGAATTGCAAAGTGCATTTTCAACGGATCTGCTGACTGAAGGCAATATAACAATTGCAATCTGCCCTTTTCTCCAGTACTCTTTGCTTCAGAAGAGCAGAAACAGTCTGTATTCTGGAAGGGAAACACTTGGAGGCAGGACTCAAAGGAATGAGCAGCTGCCAGAAAGACAAATATGCAGCCATGGGAAGTGAGCATTCATTCCTCCCGCAGACAGAGCACAAGGTATGGATCTGGCAGGGAGGCAGAGGCCAACTCCCAACAGCTGCTGCAATCACCACTCTGACACTTCTGTAATCACTTCTGCTACAATGGATTCACATTCACTTTAGCAGCCACCCATATTCTCTAGTTAGTGGAGGGAAAGGGGAAAAAAAGGAACACCGTTGTCATTGTCCCAAAATAACTGCTGGAAGATGATGAATGGTCCAGGACTATTATTCTCTGTTGCTAATATCTCAGCAGAAGGTATTACTGACTTGATTCATATCAGAATGTGGAATTATATTCGACTAATGTTCTCAGAGGAATTAAAAAAAAAAAAGGGCTGGCATTTTGTATAAAATCTTTTCAACAACAGATTATGAATATTTATAGAGGGAGCAAACTATTTTTAAATGCTTTCTCCTGTGCCAGAAGAGCTTTCCCACATTAGTCAAATACAACATTTTAATGCCTAGAACTGCAGACACATAAACTAGCCAGGTTGCATTTACTCCGTTTTTTTTTTTTTAATTTATTTTTAATTATTATGATTTCATGAGAGGAGTGAGCAAAACTTCATCAATGTTTCTGCACAAATCCCATAAGCCGTGCAAGAGAACTGCAGCACTGTGTCAAAACAGCTTAGTAAATATTAAGACTTAAAATTAAGCTACATTGCTTGTGAAAGTTCGGGGCAGGCAATGCACATTCTCTGCCTTTTGAGCACAAAATAAAATGGAAATGTGCACTACAGGCTCTCAGAAAACAAAAAATTACTGGAGTTTACAGATTATGAAAAGTTTCAATGTTTATCATTTTGCTAGCAGCATTTTTTAGTATTGAAAACTGAATTTGTTAGGAGAAAAACTAAGTGCACTCTTTTGCAGTTACTGCTGGTTTATAACACCGTTCAATACACTGCTTAAAAATTATGCCCTAGACTGCAGCTGCAAATTTAATTTTCCAAGCATCAACCAATGCAGTGGTTCTCTTCAGGTATTTGACACACTACTCCACCAGTGACTCTATGGTTAATTTTATATTTTTAAAGACAGAAGTGAGTTTAAAAATGCCTGATGAAAAATCTTCAGAATTTCAGAAAAAATGTGAAAATAAACCCACATAAACCCCCCTAAACTTCACAGTGTTTTATTTACTGCTCTTGGCTCTGACAGTTAAAGCCTACAGTGGAACTAGATAAGGTCCCAAATGAGGAACTAGGAAACAGTGAATCTCTTCCTGAAGATATTTTTCTTTTTTTTTTCCGCCCAATGAATACTCTGGACAGGTTAGGGAATGAACAAAAGCAAAGCCCACATGGATTTACTCAACTAGAAATCTCAAAAGTAACCCAAAGGGTTAGTACCCATCCCAGTAACAGAGTAACTTGAATTTCTCAAGAAATCACTGACCCTGAATGCTGCTAAGCTTTGCTGCCTGTCTTCATCTTTGGCCTTGACTGGCACTCCAGTACCTCCATTTCCAGTATTCTGCTATCAAACTTAGCTATTTTAACTTTTTTTTCTACATTTTTCACACCCTCCTTCATAACTGATGCTGTGGTGCTTATCAGGCAAACTCCTTTCCTTTTGTGGCAATCAGGCCAGAAATGCATCATGCATGAGATGTTAATTTAAATCAAAGACCTAACAGTCTCCTTTACCTTGCAGCTTAAACTCTCATCACACAATCATCAGGGGTGGAAGGGACCTCTGAAGATCAACTTCCTTGCCAAGGCAGGGTCACCTGGAGCAGGTGACACAGGAACACGACTAAGTGGGTTTGGAATGGCCCCACAGAGGGAGACTCCACACCCTCCCTGGGCAGCCTGTGCCAGGGCTCTGCCACCCTCAGTGTAAAGCTGTTCTTCCTCACATTGAGGTGGAACTTCTTGTGGTTTAGTTTATGGCCATTGCTCCTTGTCCTGTTGCTGGGTACCACTGAAAAGGGCCTGGCACCATCCTCTGGCACGATCATCTGGCACTTGCCTCGGAGATATTTATGTGCATTGCTGAGATCTCCTGTCAGCCTTCTCCTGACTAAAGAGGCCCAGCTCCTGCAGTCCATCCTCATTAGAGAGATGCTCCAGACCTCTCATCACCTTTGTGGCCTCTGCTGGACCCTTTCCAGCAGCTCCATTTCCCTCTTGCACTGAGGAGCCCAGGCCTTCACACAGCACTCCAGATGTGCCTCACTAGGGCTGAGTGGAGGGGCAGGATCACCTCCCTCGACCTGCTGGCCATGCTCTTCCCACTGCACCCCTGGATCCCTTTGGTTCTCCTGGTTGCAAGGGTACACTTATGAACCTCTTTACTTCGATTTCTTTGTACTTTCCCCTTAAGCATATCTATTTCCAAGTACTTCTATTCACTGAAAACAAAACTATAGTCATACACAAGTAGTTTTTATTTCCCACTCCAGACTGAGTGTCTGGTCCTCACCTCGCAGCCCGCTCAGTGTCACTTGCAAACACCTGGTGTGATAACAGCACCAGAAATGCAGGGAAGCCACTCGCACCTAATTGTTTCCAGACCACTGACGCCCACAGGGAGGCACACGGGAAGACTCGAGCTAAGTGATACTTTTGTTTACCACTCGGTTTTCATTCATTTATTTATAAGGACCGGACAAGGAGCAATGGGTACAAACTGAAAGCGGGGAAATTCAGGCTGGATATGAGGATGGAATTCTTTATTGTGAGGGTGATGAGGCACTGGCACAGGTCGCCCAGAGAAGCTGTGGCTGCCCCATCCCTGGAAGTGTTTAAAGCCAGCCTGGATGGAGTTTTGAGCAACCTGGTTTAGCGGAGGTGTCCGTGCCCATGGCAGGGGGGTGGAATGAGGTGATCTTTAAAGTCCTTTCCAACCCAAACCTCCTGTGATTCGCACAGCGTTCGCAGCCCGATAAACGCCGACAACGCTGGTGACAGAGCCCTGCCGAGGGGAGGGCCCGGCCCTTCCCTGCATCCCCACATCCCATTCCACCCGCCGCCTTCCCTGCCAGATCCCGGCACGGCCGCGGCTCCAACAGGCGCGGGGGTGCGGCCGGGCGAGCCCCCGCCGGCACGGCTCATTCCCACCCGCCGTCCTGTCCGGCGGTGCCCGTGGGCAGCGGGATCCGCCCGGAGCCGCCGCCGCGCACAAGGGGCCCGCCGGGCCCTGCGAAGGCCCGCCCAAGCCCCGCCGCCCGCAACCCGGCCGGGCACCGCCGGCAAAGCTTACTCTGCGTGGTCGGACAGGGAGATCATGGTGCGGCGGGAGCGGAGAGCGGCACCGGGATCGCGGGGATCCGGATCGGCGGGAGCGGGCACGTCTTCCGGAAACCGCACCCGCCGGGTGAGACGCGCCCGCCCATTGGGCAGGGCCGCCGCCAATCAACGGCCGTCTTGCATCGCCGCGCGGCCGCGGCGCCACGCGGTGATTGGCCGAAGGGGCGGTGGCGGCGAAGGGGCGGGGCCGGGGCGCTCAGGTGGGACGGGGATGGAGGACCGGGATAAGGGACTGGGATAGGGGAGCGTGTCCCGGCACTAACTCGTGGGCTGGGCGGCATCGGCCCGGGCTAGGGCTAAACCCGACGTGCCTGAGGAAGCGACAGCGAGATGCGGAGAGTCCTGCTCTGCCTGCAGGGCCCTGGCAGCCTCTGTCCCTTCCTCCGTCCTTCCCTCCATCCGTGCTGCTCCGCCCTGCGCCCGATGAGCGAGTGCTTCTCTGCTTTTCCCTGGTATCCTCCCTCCCTCTGTCCGTCCATCACTCCCTCCATCCATCCCGCTCCCCCCTGCCCCGCACCTGCCGTGCAGGTGCTTCCCTGCCTCCCCCGGCAGCCTCCCTCCCTCCGTCCCTGCCTTCATTCCTTCTCTGCCTTCCTTCCCTCCCTGCCTCCCTCCCTCTCTCCCACCCCGCCTAGCAGGTGCTCCCCTGCCCGGCCGTGCCGGCCCCGTGCCCGCGGCTGATGTTCGGGATGGAAAAGGCTGAGACGGCCCGTGTGTTTATTCAGGCATTGGAATGGGTTGCCCGGGGAGGTGGTGGAGTCGCCATCCCTGGATGTGGCACTGGGTGATGCGGTTTAGGGGTTACGGTGGTGGATGGTTGGACTGGATGGTCTTAAAGGTCTCTTCCAACCTTCCTGATTCCGTGATTCTGTCGATATCCCTATATCCACACCTCCCTGCTGTCGCTTTGGCTCTTTTGTGCCCTCCTCTTAATAGTTTCTTGTTTTTCTTTTAAGGTGACCTCCCAGATTTCCGTATGGGGGATTTTGTACCCGGCTGAACTCCCGCTAAGGTGATACATCCTGCTTGTGTAATTTCAGGGTTCTGGGCGTGATAACCCTCTGTTACCATCAATTCTCAGGGATGGGGCAGGAGGGGCTTGGTATGGAGGCTGGATGAAGGAGGAGTAACAAGGTTTCCAGTACTGGGAAGGTGTTTTCTGTCAGTGCAGAGTGGGAGGTGATGCTGGTGACTCACCTGTCTGCCTCAGGCTGTTGTGTGTCTGCTCAGAGGCCTCTTCCCTGCTCGTGGGCTCTTTAGAAATGGGATAAATTCACAGGAGCTGAACTGCTTTTATGGTGGGGTAAATCTGCCAGATGGGCAAGATACTCCCACTTGCCTTTCCTCCACTGTGGTTTGTAAGCTCTGAGTTCAACTTAAGTTTTATGAGCTCATGTTAAGTTTTCAGGGTGAGTCAGTTGGCACTTAGGGGTCTTTGTTGGCAGTGGTGGTACAGAATTCTAAGATATGCTGAGCTACTGCTTTTAGAGACAGGTGTTAAATTAAAGACTTGTGGAGCTTTAGCAGCACAAAGGGAAACTTCCATAGGAAATTTTCATTCCCTTCCCACTGCTTGGATAAGAAAATGGCTCATGTTTCCTGGGCTCTCAGCCCAGTGATATTTGTGGGGTTCTTGTTTACTGGGGGCAATAGCAGTAGTATAATGCATTTTACAGTGTGTCTGTGCCACTCCTACTGATTTTCTGGATGTCCCTGCTTGCTCTGTACTTTGGGGACACTAATGTGTCCATATATGTTTGTGCAAGTGACAGGTGGTATAAAGACAGAACTGTGTAGCTCAAATTTTGTGTGTGACCTGGACACTGCTGAGTTATACAATAGTCAACTTCATTCTGAAGTGGGAACTTTTAACTTACTTTTAATCATAACCTCTTCTGGCAAAGTCAGTGTTTTATTCACATGTTATCTTTAATCTATATTTTTTCCCTGTTTATAGGAGTACAGCAAAATATTTGTTATGGTAGAATCAGCTGATAGTGAGGGTCTGCTGAATTTGTTCCCTTTCACCTTCCCTTGGCTTCCATATATATAATAGTTCAGAATTCAATAACAGAGACAACATCAAATTTCTTAAGTTTGATATTGTTACCATGTGATATGACAAAGAATGTTGTTCAAAAAATGAGCCAATAAATAGAATTCTAAGTTAATTTCACTGATGATCTAATAAAAACTAATCCCCCTTCTCTGAATCAAACTACCTTTCTCCATCTTCCTAGCAGATTCTTTAGGTGTTATGGTGGCTGCTTCTTTAAGGGGATCAATATAATTTGTTCAGGCTTTTCTGTAAAATAGTATTTGAAGAGGCAAATAAAAAGATAGGTCAAAGGTATGTGAGTGAGTGGTCTGTGTATGACTCTCAGAAAATTTGGATACTTATCACTTGGATTCATTTGAAAGGCTGTCAAGCTGTTCCCTTGGGAATTGGTTGTGAGTTTGTCCCTTTTGCAGAAGGGAAAAAGCAGTTGTCATCTAATGGGGCTTGTTTATGTAAGGAGATTAAATGAACCAGTACTTAAACTGTTATATTAACACCGATGTTAATGAAGAATCTCTTGCAGTAAACTTGTTCTAAGTTTAGAAAGTTTGCTTACAAAATATAGTTTTAAATTTATTGATTTTATTTTCTTCTTAGTAGCAGCTGCTTGGTTAAATAAGGTCTCCCAAGGATAACATTGTTAATCTCCAAAGATGACAGCTGTTGCAGGTAATCCACACTTAGTACTCAATATGTTCATTTTGCTTTCTTTTAGCTGACAGACACTGTCTCCTGATGTTACTGCTTGTTATTTGTATGAACTTAATGTATGCAGAAAAGAGTTTGTGGGGTCTATCCTATTATACTTCAAATTTGAAGGAAAAATTTCTTTTACCGGCTAACTTTTATTTCCTAGATAAAAACTAAAACAAAATGCTCCATCCCTGGAAGTGTTCAAGGCCAGGTTAGATGAAGCTCTGAACAACCTGGTCTAGTGGGTGGTGTCCCTGCCCATGGCAGGGGGCTTGGAATGAGATGGTCTTTAAGGTACTTTCCAAACCAAAACATATTATGATGACAATCAAGCTTGTCAAGGAAGTTGCTTGGTTTTCAATATTCTGAAAACCTGCTTCATATTTTAAGATACTTTTTACTCCTGCTGAGGTAACAGTGGGCATTTAGGAAGACAAATGTCCCTATTTTGTGCCATTTGAAATGAGGATATCTTTTTCCATATCATACATTTTTGCTCCCACAAGCACATTATCATATCTGCTATGGTTGGATCAAAATCTCTTATTTTGGGGGTTGCTGGGGGAGGAAATAATTTCTTCTTATGGTTTTCCAACCTGGCTCTGAAATAGTGATACACACTTGGCATTCAGGGATGTGTGTTAACTATTCTTTTAAACCCTGAGGACTGGATTCTAGAATGCAATCTGTAATTCACACAGATGCATAATAGAATGTAAAGAGGCAAATTCACTTATGTAGCCCAAGATTTTAGGGAGTATTTACTCACTTTTTTCAGATGTGAGGGGTTGCTTGTCTTCAAAAAAGTGTTTTTTCTCCATGTCCAAACCTTGTCCCTATTTCCATCCCCAGAAGATTTTAACTGCTTCTCACATGTAAATGTTTTCTATTAACAATGTTCTCATCTTTTGCTCACCTTGGGATTGGCCTCATCCTCGTCTTCATTGGAACTCTTGCAGCTTTAATATCAGGCTGCAGTGTGCTTTCCACTGCTTGACACGCAGCTGCAGGAAAGAAAATAATTCCAGATGTTTCTCTGGAGAGGCACTGCTCTTGAGAAACTGGATTTTTATTTTTTTTTCTCTATTAGTCAACACAGGCAATGATAGTGTTGCATATCTCTCATACAGTGTATCAGAGATGACAGCTTACAGTGCACCTGTGTGTGTATGACCTCCTAATAGAAGAAATAAGTTTTTAAGCCTTGACAAGTATTTTTACATGGCATGTACACTGTTAGATGTTATCATCTTCTCAGTGCCCCTGTCAGGCTGTCTGTTTCTCCAGATGCTTTTTGCTTATGTTTAGTTTTGGATTGTTCTCAGCCAACAAATTAAATGCAATTTAAAACTGGGGATTAGCACGTTACTGAAATCTCTGCTGTGCCTTCACCTTGCTTTTCCTTGCAGTGCTAGAGGAGGTGCTGGTTTCTATTGAGAATGAGCTGCAAGCAGTGGAGATGCAGATACAGGAGCTTGTGGATAAACAGCAGGAACTCATTCAAAAGAAGATGAGAGTGAAGAATCTGATAAAACAATCCTCAGGAGACGTGGAGGCAGGTGGAAGTAAAGACACGGAAACCTCAGCCGAGGCATGGAACAAAAAAGGTTTGCAGAGTCAAATTCAAATATCTTAACAGAGAGGTAAACTAATTCAGTAGGGGAAAGTGCATTCATGGACAGTTTTGTTTGGATAATTATATTGTCCTATTTAATTTTCATCAGCTGGGTGACCTGCTATCCTACATGGGGTAACGTTTGTACTCATTGGACATTTCTAAATACTAATCTGAGTTCTGGGCAGAATTATTACAAGAATGGCTTGTCACAACTACTTCTATTCTTTCCTTGTTGCAAAGTCACAACTTGATTTGATTTGCTCTAAGAATCCCAGAGTAAATTTTTATTGCAATGCTTGTGTACTTAAATTATATTGCAGGGCTAAGAGTTGGACTCGATTCTTGTGGGTCCCTTCCAATTGAGAATATTCTGTGATTCTGTGGTATTGCAATACTTACATTCCCACTTTGTGCTCTAAAATAATTGCTCTGGATCGTCTCAAGATTTGAGAATAACAGTTTTGCACTCTGAGTTCTTTCCTGCTTGAGTGGGTAGGACATTGGTGGTGTTTGACATGGGTTATGCAGCTTCACTATCGTTCCAAATTAATGCAAATTAGATGGATGCTGACTGCCAAATTAATGTAGAATACATTAGTATGGTGGAGTCAGTGCAAGAGGCAAGTGCCCCATGGTGGTCTGAGGGCTGCTGTCCTTTTGGAAGTGCTGTCTTTTCAAGTTCAACATTAAATGACATCTTGGATAGTTGGTGGGTCTTGACCACATTATGCCTTGCCAAATTTGACTCAGATATTTTAATTATTTTTCCCCTCCTTTTTTACTTCAATTGCAATTTGGGAATGTCTGTATCTATTGTATGTATTTGCTTTTTTTGCCTTTTTTAAAAATGAAATTATTTTGTAGTTTAATCCATATTTATCTATATTTGAGACAACTGCTATGCATATGTAAGGATACTGATACTTTATAATTGCAAATTGATGCTATTGAACAAATTATTTGTTTTGGGTAGCTCTGTGCCTAATTCTCTCCTCTTGTGGTTTGAAAACCAACATCTTTGCAATCCCATGCTGAGTGCATGTTGAATAAGAGCAGTGGCTAAATTTAGTCCCAGTATAAAGCTCATGGAAGTCAGTGGGAAGCTTTTCTTGGGTATAGAGAGCCTGGGATCTTGGCTGTGCTCTTTGTAAACTTCTTTGTAATGTCCCAGAGTTTAATTCTTGTATTGCATGTGGTGTAACCTGGGGTTCCCACAGTTTTTCTGCATTTTAATTTTAATAGTATGAAAATAGTTCATACCATTGCATCTGAAATTTAAGTTTTTACAATATTATCTCTTTAATTAATGCAGTCTTTAGCTCTTTATTGAAAAAAATACATTGGAGTGATTATTTTGGGGAAGATTAAACTTTCCCCCCACCTTTTTAGTAAATGCTTATTATTGATGGAATATATGGGAAAAAAATGCATCCCTGTTTCATTATACTATTTGTAATTGCTGCATTTGTGTGAGGGAAGCATTTGGACAACTGTTGCAGGGCTCAGGGTCTGGTTTGATTTATTTCCAGGGTGGGCTTCTCATTTCCAGTTAATTTTGGACTAGTGAGTTAACATGGTCCTTAGGGCTTTGAAGTTCATCTGCTTGTGAGGTTTTTTGCATTAGTTCACATTTATGTGCAACGAGAGCTTTGATCTGGGGGTGGACTGTGTTTACATTTTATAGAGTTTCCAAAAGTCCACCCTAGAAACTGGTTTAAACGGACTCAGGCTGTGTATGGCTTTTTCTTTGCCATTATTGAATCTTTAAACACTTTCCCAGGACTTAAAATTGTGTTGCTTCCTGATTTAGTTATTGAATATGTAAATTACCCTTCCTTCTTATATTTCAACTTGCTTATGAAACATGTTTGTTGTTGTGGTTTTTTTTTTTCCTTTAACAGATTTTCCATGGTATGAGAAGATAAAAACTGCACTGCAGGGCAAATTTAAACTCCAGAAGTTTAGGTCACTGCAACTTGAAACAGTAAATGCTGCAATGGCAGGAAAGGATATATTTCTTGTCATGCCTACAGGTGGTGGCAAGAGCCTTTGCTACCAGTTACCAGCTGTCTGTTCTGATGGTATGTAAGGAAAAAAAAAGGACATACATAAAGAAGTGCATTTATTTTCTCTCTTTTATAGGTATGTGGAAAATGACCACTATGTTGGTGTCTGATATCACAGTATGGGGGGGGAAAAAAGAGCAACTGCATGAGATAGATTTGCTAGAAATATTTTCTTTACTCTCTTTATTTTCTCTGAAGGAGCAATAACTGCTTTAAATTATTTAAATCTAAATCATATCTCCAAGGCATATATTTTATCAAGATTCTACTCAATACATTTTATTATTAAACACTGAAAGAACTTTTAAAAAGTTTATCACTATTTTTTCTTTTTTTTCCTTTTTAATTCAGTACACAGACTGTAAAGTATTGAAGTATGGGTATCTATCATTTGTCTCTTCCACTCTGAAGCTTGAGCTTCAGATTATTTGGGATAATAATTTTTAAAAATAAGTATCCAGTTCTAGTTTTTAAGCTTTTTTTGGTGGTTTTGTTTGATTGGTTTGGTTTTGGTTGGTTTTTTTTTTTTACATAACCCATCCAATTGCATGGAACTTTATTTATTTACAAAGACCAAATTTACCATTACCTACCACTGCTTAGTTCTGTGGTAAATTTACCTCATGACTGAGATATCCAACTTGCTTTGGTTTGTATATTGATTTTTATACTTTGTTTGTTGCAGCCCAGTTCCTTGTGGTCTAGATCCTAAGAGGAGGTGTGTGTGATGGACATTTAATAAGAATTATCCCAGTGTGATCTGGCACTCACTTGTCAGCTATTTTGGAAGGGAATCTGCTGCTGTGTATGAAGCTTAAGCTTACATTTGGCAGTTTCTTGAGAGCAGGGCTGATGCATTAGTAAAAAGTATTAGAGGAGACATTTGTGGCATGTGAAGTGTTCAGTTGGCACAATGATTGATTGTTACAGGTTTCACACTCGTGATATGTCCTTTGATATCTCTTATGGAAGATCAGCTCATGGTTTTGGAACAGCTTGGTATTTCTGCAGCTTTATTAAATGCCTCAAGCAGCAAGGTATGTTTAACTGCCAAGTCTTGGTGGTTTTTGTGCTGTATGTGCTGGTGTCTCACCTCTGTGTTGCTTGTGAATATTGAATGGATGACACAGATTTACCAGCTAATGCTGTTCTGTCAACAGTATCTTGCCAGCAAGGTGCTGTGATATGGGTAACATGAGTGAGCATCTTGTGTTCTTGTTTTAATGACATCAACAAACATGGAAACCAACAGCTTCCATGGAATAAATAGATTTCTTGGGGCTGTTTAGAGGATGTGAAGTACCTTTGGCTGGTGTGTGTTGTAAATTTTTACTCGGTTTCTAGGCTTGGACTAGGTGATTTTTGTCAACTAGTAACATGATGAGCCCTGCAGGCTTTGACATAACTATTTATCTCTCTTTAGGATGGAAAGCTGTTCGATCCAGAGGCCAAAAAGCAACTTATTTCCCAGTCTGTTATTAGTCAATTGCTTTTTAAAGTGAAATATATTTTCCTGACTAGCAGGAGGCTGGGATCATTAACTTTGCACGTGACACTGGATTTGATAAGTCAGTGGCTTGATGCAATGTGCAAACTTGAAGCCTGCTTTGAGGCAAAGCACTTTGAAAATTCAGTAATAAAGACCACGGTTGTGTGCAAGAAATTATTTTACACTTGTAGTACCACTGGCATATTTGGTACATTATCATGGCAGGGGGGTTGGAACCAGGTGATCTTTCAGGTCCCTTCCAACCCAGGCCACTCTATGATTCTGTGATGATCATGCTTCTACTGTATGATCAGATTTTGGCAGAGAATTATCCCAACTGCCAACTGTTACAGTTTACTGGGAAAATACTGATACCACACGATGAAGCAAAGACAAATATTCAATACTCTACCTTTTCAAAGTTCCACCAGAGATTTTCCAAGTATTAAAATGAACATTTTATATATAACAATCTTCTCCAGAGGCTTACAATAGTGGTAAATACCGTGTAACAGTTTGTCAGTCTCTGTTAATTACCCCTTCTGAATTGCTAATCACCTCATAAGAGCCTTAGCACTAAGCAACTTGAGTGTGCTGTCCCAGTTTGTTCCCCGCTGATGTCTCCTTTTGTTTTGAACAGGAGCACGTGAAGTGGGTCCACAGCGAAATGCTAAACAGGAATTCACAACTGAAGCTCATTTATGTGACCCCAGAGAAGATTGCAAAGAGCAAGATGTTCATGTCCAAGCTGGAGAAGGCTTACCAGGCCGGGTGTCTGGCTCGTGTTGCTGTGGATGAGGTCCATTGCTGTAGTCAGTGGGGCCATGACTTCAGACCTGGTATGCTCCTCAGAAACCCAGTCTGCAGGGTTATTCAGGCATCAACAAATAATTGGGCCTGAAATAAAGCTGCTTTCTTCATGTGTTGAGTAAATTCTTAGTGTATCACTAGGACCTCTGTTGGCTCAAGGAATTTAATTCAGAAATGACTGTATCCTTGCCCAGGAGCTAAGTGCGTGCAAATAGGGATGATTTCAACTTAGATTTTTCTGTCAGTGTTCTGAAAAACTCCTTATTCATTTCACTTTAATTGGAGCTTCATAAAATCAACGTTTTTGGCTGCTGTCTCTAATATGGACAGTACAGTTATCTTTAATCTACTGCTACATGAAAAAGTATCATTCTGTACACTGTTCCCTGGCACTTTAGGTGACAGAGGTAGAGCACTTTGTAAATTCATGAGATATATTTTAACCACCTCTAAAGCAATTGGAAACAAATGCCCTTGACTTGCAGGGGAAGAAAGTGTGCTTCAGTCTCTTCCCTGTCTTGGCAGCTTTAGAATATTGTTACTGGTTACTGTTTCTTTGCCTTTGAAAGAAAACCTGATTTGGAGCAATATGAACTGTAAAATCAACTTTTGCAGTTTTGTTAAACATTGTTGTCAGAGCCAAGAGCCATGACAGTTAAACAGGCAATGTGGCATTTGGATATGCACCTCTGGCTGCATTTCTGTTTTAAGGCAGCAAGTGATTGTCAGTATTGAGCCTTTAAAATCTTTCCTTATTACAGTCTGGTCTATGTATCCAAATTCCACATTGCTTATTTATTAGCAAAGCTGTGTTTACTCAAAAGCTGTATGTAAAAACAGATTGGCAAAATAACCCAAATGCTGGTTAATGTGATGCCACTCACATTTTCCTGACTTGAAGAACTTCTATTTCCAGATATCTTGCCTTCTGAATTGTCTGATAATTGCAGCCTTCCAGTACCTGAAGGGAGCCTACAAGATAGATGGAGAGAGACTATTTACAAGAAAATGTAGTGACAGAACAAGGAGAAATAGCTTCAAACTGACAGAGAGTGGGTTTAGATTAGATATTAGGAGAAAATTCTTTCCTGTGAGGGTAATGAGGCACTGGAACAGGTTGCCCAGAGAAGCTGTGGCTGCCCCATCCCTGGAAGTGTTTAAGTCCAGGTTGGATGGGGCTCTGAGCAACCTGGTCTAGTGGAAGGTGCCTTGCCCATGGCAGGGGGGTTGGAACTAGATACTTTTTCATGTTCCTTCCAACCTAAACCATTCTGTGATTCTGTAAAATTGAATTAGAAGACTTCTACTTTGGTAACTGCAGTATTATCCCACTGGATACTATCTACATAAATACATTTTTTAAAGTTTGGATTTGTGGAGAAAAATCTCTTTATTTCCACATTGTTTGGTTTTTTTCTGCTTAGACTACAAGTCTCTTGGTATATTGAAAAGACAGTTTCCCAATACTCCCTTGATTGGACTGACAGCAACAGCTACAAATCATGTTCTAAAGGATGCTCAGAAAATTTTGCATGTTCAGAAGTGCATTACCTTTACTGCCTCGTTCAACCGGCCCAACCTGTACTATGAGGTAGGTCTTTGTTCAGCTGCATTGCTGTCGTGTTGCCTCCTGTAAGGTACAGCTGATGAGTTTTAGAGCAGATTTTTTTAGACTAGATTTTAGTAATCAACAGCTTTTTAGTGATTGATGGTGTTATTTGATTGCTTCATGTTGCTGAACCCACTGTCCTCTGCCGAGGGACTTGGGCTGCTCTGTCTGTGTGAGCAAGACTTAGCAGACAGCAGTGTGTAAAGGAGAGAGGCAGGCAGCAGGCTCAAACTGCTGCAACCTGCTGGAAAATATGTCCTCTGATGGCCAAAATTATTGTGTCATGCTGCATTTTCAATTTGGCCACAGGTTATTTTATTTTTCTTGATTATGAGGAAAACTTATGGGTTTGTTTTTCTATGGACTTTTGAGTTGTAGTCTGACTGTACACAAAAAGAATTTTTGTTAAATGGCAGAATAGTTTTGTTTGTCATACTGTAAGAAATAGAATAACAGGATTGTTTGACACACTGTGTGCTCACTTGAACTCTGACATATGTGTATTTTACTTCTGAGGTTCGGCATAAGCCTTCAAATAATGAAGATTTCATTGAGGACATAGTTAAAACCATTAATGGAAGATACAAAGGACTGTCAGGTAAAAAAATGTCAAAAAAAGTGCACATATTATTTTTCATAATCTTGAATGTTACAGATGTTGGGATGTTTTCAACTGATACTGAAAAGTGTAAAGAAATAAATTCTACCTTCACATTACATTAAAGATCCAGCATTAGAATAAATGAAATTTCATAAGATCCATACCTTGAACAGTTTCTCTCCTCATTTATTAGTGTTTAAATCTCTTTACTGCCTACTTGTATCTTCTGAAGTATTGAAATAGAATGTTGATGTATATAGAACAATGTTCACATAGATAGGAATAACAGGAATTTTTAAGATCATAAAAACAGTTGTACATGTGTCATTGAATATCTGTGTCAGGAGACTTAGTATCTTTGATGCTTCTTTTTCATATTTGATTATAAGATTCATCTATTATTTAGTGCCCCCAATGGGTGTTATAGGTTGATTCGTGTTGAAAGCAGAACTGTGTAAGTTGGACTTGGTGTAACCAGTGAATTATGTATTGCAAATTAAGAGGAGGGACATCTTGCAAAGGCAACAGAACCCAGTTTTCCAGAGCAGCAGTCTGTCCCTGTCTCTGCTGTGAGCTCTGTGGATGTGATGAGCAGCTTCCAAGGAGCTGTGCCAAGATGATCACAAGATGATCATGGCCTTGTGTGTAATCCCTGACTTAGCCCAGACTGACTAATGACAAAAAGCAGATTTATCTGAAACCTCAGGTGAGATGCCATAGATGTCATAAGGAACAGCACCTCTTTACATAAGCTTTCATAAGCATTGTCCTCCATTAACATTAATAGAACACTCCCATGATTATGTGGACTGACAGCCATATTTCTTCTTTAGCCTACAAGTCCAAGCTGATAATTGAGGTTTCCTTCATGGATACAAATACTGCAGACTGAATAGACACAAAGACTGTATAATTCTTTTTATGCATTATTTTTAAGTTAATAAAACTTTCACAATTGTTTTTAAGTATTGGGGATTGTTTGGCTTTTTCAAGGCATTACAATGATGGATCTTTCACTTTTGTGCAGGAATTGTTTACTGTTTTTCTCAGAAGGATTCTGAGCAGGTTACTGTGAGTTTGCAGAAACTGGGAATCAAGGCAGGGACTTACCATGCAAACATGGATGCTAAATATAAAACCAAAGTTCATAAAGGATGGGCAGCAAATCAAATCCAGGTTAAGTAGATACTTTTCTTGGACTTATGTCTCATTCAAACAAATTGTATTTTGGTACCCTGATGGTTTCTTAATCTCTTTTTTTCAGGTTGTAGTGGCAACTGTTGCTTTTGGCATGGGAATTGATAAACCTGATGTGAGGTTTGTAATTCATCATTCTATGAGCAAATCCATGGAGAACTACTACCAAGAGAGTGGACGTGCAGGTGGGAAATGGCTTTTGCAAGGCCACCATTTACATCTGTTAAACTAGTAAAATTGTACTTCAATTTTTCAGCCATTTGTGCAAAGTCTCTTGTCTCTGAGACAGGTTTCAAAGTGTATAATGACACTCTGCCTCTGTAAAGAGGCTTAAAAGCAAATATAAACTGCATTCATGATCTCAGGCCTCTGTTGCAGTATAACAAGGAGTAAGTGGGTACCCAGCCCTTCACTCAGCATTTTTTAATTACTTGATTTTTATGACATTTGTGGCTTACCAGAATGGATATATGATTTTTTTAGTTATTTTCCTCTGTATAGCAACTGGCATGTGTGATTTGCTCCAATTGTCTCTAGATGATGTATAATCATTGTATGAATTTCAGTGGCCACAAGAATACAAGTAGGATGGGGAGTATGGAGCAGGGAACTTTAAGGATTGATCAGTGTATAGCAGAATAAATAGCTGTTATGGCTAAAAAAATGTTTAGTGGTGGTCTGGTTTTTTGATCTTATGCATCATTACTTTTTCAAAATCAGAGTTGAATCTACATGGGAAAAAGCTTTTCAGGGACCTTGAGGGGCAATTGGTTGAGATTTTAATTTTGTGTTCATTTTAATGCATTGCAGGTAGAGATGACCAAAAAGCTGACTGCATTTTGTATTATGGTTTTGGAGATATATTCAGGATCAGCTCAATGGTAGTGATGGAAAATGTCGGGCAAGAGAAGCTCTATGATATGGTATCTTACTGCCAAAATATGAACAAGTAAGTTACTGTAGTGGCTGGGTTGCTTAGCCTTTAAATAGTCTATTTTTGTTGGGTTCTTTAGAGGGCATTTGAAAAAAAAAAAAAAAACCACAAAAAAACCCAAAAAACAAAAAACAACAAAACAACCCAAAGCAAAACCAAAGCCCAACCCATCACCAAACAAAACCACTCACAAGAACAAACTTGCCAGCTTCAGGATAAAATTTTGGAAGAAGTGAAATACCTGTCAGCGAACACTGTTTGGATTTCAAATCCCATCCAGAGGAAAAATTCGAATGCTTTGGTTTTTACTCTAATGTACCAGTGTTTAATGGCCATATAGGAATCCACATGTGCCTAATGCTTTATCTACTGCACTGGGAGTACTTGGGAATACTTCATGGAAAACACTTGTATCCATGTTGTGGACTTTGTTAGCCTCAGTCTAAGAATGAGCTCATATTCTTAGGATTTTTCATTCTATTGAAATTGCAGATTATGCTTTTCTGCTTTGACCAAACTGTTCCTACATCGCTGTCAGCTCATTATTCCTGTTGGCATAACTGACAGGGAATACTGTGTTGCAATATTTGTTTTCTTATTTTTTCCTGAGATAATTCTTCATGCCAGTCTTCAGATATGAGCTGTCCCAAGGGCCCCTCTTGTTGCCATTTTCATGGTTTATAACCCTCGGGTTCCATAGTCCCTGTCTGCTCTCCCAGGTGTCGCCGGGTGCTCATAGCCCATCACTTTGATGAGGTGTGGGATTCTGCAAACTGCAACAGAATGTGTGATAACTGCTGCAGAGAGAACGGTGAGTAAAGGACAGAGAACGTGGGAAAAGATGGCTTAAGGAAATATATCTAGTTCAGAAAAACTATAAGCAAATTTTGTGAACTCTGCTTGTAATACCCCCTGTTTTCGAGGCACAAATTTCGTTATGCATTTCAGCTTTTGGTGCTGCTGAGTTCAGGGTGTTTAGCAGGATACTTCCTGGTTTGGTTTTCTGCCAAAGACTTTGGTATCCTTCAGTCTCCACTGTTCCCCTGTTCCCAAAAGGTAAGCTGGGGCAAAGGGAACGTTGGCTTACCTGTTTAAAAAAGATTCTGGTAGGAGTCAGGTTTTGTTTTAGGGTTTGGGTGTAAAAGGTTTATTTGAGGAGGAGCCCCTTGCTTTCTGCATGCCAAACTGTTCATATTTAGGCTCTGAGAAGGTACAGTTTGCACATCCTCTCACTACTTCCCTGGTAAAATCCCTGAGGATTTCAGTGCCACGTGCTCATGAATTGTACCTGTGTCAGGACTGTGCATGACAGGTGTGCAGAACAGCTGAGCACACTAACTCAGGGCTTTGATCTGTGTTAGCCCTAACAGCACAATGTCTGTCCAGCATGTGCTCTTCCTTTGGAAAAAAGCTGGGATCATAAGAGTGAAGGCACAGAGGGAGGTTGGAAGATAAGCTGAAACAAGACCAGCTGCATGATAAGAGGATGGTTTCAGTAGAACGTGGTTCTGGGACATCAGTTCTTTTGCTGTTTTGGCCATAAACATCCTGAGGTTGTTGGGGGGTCATTCTTGCTTTAATTGTCATTTTTGGTACTTGTCAGAAAGCTGAAAGTCACAAAAGATGCACAAAACATCTGTTGCTGCATTTATAAAGTGAGCACTGTGGTTTAGACATAGGAAAGCCCCGAAGAAGCTAGAAACTCTGAAAGTAGTGCTGAGAGAAAATTGGTCTTGGGCATCTCTAACTGGACACACAAAACCACCTTATAATTCTTTAAGGACCAGGTGTATATTTGTAATATGAGGAGATGGTATTTTGCACATATTGTATACCTGTTGCAAAAAGGATTTGGATAATATAGTGATCAACACTTGAAAAAACTTAGGAACAACTCTGTATTCAAAGCTATTCTCATAACTAGACTTAATTTCCATCTACATGTTTTGGGATGTAAAGTAGACAAAAATTTAACTTTTTTTTTCTTTATACAGTTAATTATATAATCAAACTGTTTTGCAAAATCATGCAAGTGACAATGTCTTGTTATCTTCTATTTAGAAATGGGGTTTATTTGACATTTATACTGGGATCAGAGGTTGGGAAGAGTACGGAACTGGCTTGTCCCCAAGGCTTACAGGAGCCATGTGGTGAAATATAGTTGAGATATATCCTGTTTACTGCTGGTTCACCCCCAGGGCCTTTTGATACACAAGCAAGGTCTGAGGAAACCTTGCAGCAGTACTCGTTTTTCAGTCCTTAATTCTTAGTATTGGAGGAGGCAGTTGGGGTAATTCTGTGCCATAATCTGATCATGCACAAGAAGGGTGATCATTATGCTTAGAATAATTATTGGTGAAGCTTATTTTTATAATGTAATTAACACCTTTTTTTCTGTCTCATTTTGTCCATAAGTGTCTTGAGAGAATAAATGTCTCGCTTATATTCTTCACTCCCTCTGTGCTCTCTGATCTTATCATAATAAACACTGTGGGTGAGGAAAAGGGATCCAGCTGTAACATAGCAGCCACCTTGCAAATTCTGTGCTTCCTAAATGCTTCTTTGAAATAATCTGTGTGGTTTGTAACATTAAATACAAGTAGAAGAAATGTTTGCCAGATGGGAGTTTCAATAATGAAGTAGAAAGACAGATGTGAGTACAAATATATCCTAATGGTCAGAGGGGAAAGTTACAGCTTTATTTGTTAAGTTACAGTTTTAAAACAAAAAAAACCCAAACCAAACCATTGCTACTATGCAGCAGATATGTATTTATCTCTAAATATATAAAAGTATATACATGTATATATGGATACTATCTAAATAACCATAAATAACTTGCTATTTAAATATTCTTTCACTTTTATCTGCAGCATGTGAGAAGATGGATGTAACAGGATACTGCAGGGATCTAATCAAGATACTTGAGCAAGCTGAAAGCATGAGTGAGAAACTCACCCCACTGAAACTAATTGATGCATGGTCTGGGAAAGGTGTGTCCAAGTTCAGGGTGGCTGAAGTTACTCCACCAAAGCACCCTCGAGAGGAACTGGAGAGAATTATTGCCCATCTACTGCTGCAGCAGTATCTGAGGTAAGATGATTAGTTTTGTTTTGTTTGTTTTGAATTTTTTAAACATCTAGTAGTCATTTTTCTTTATTCTTTTGTTACTTCTGTATAGCATTAATGGATACATTCCACAGTCTTGTTTTTAGCCTTTGTTTCAGGTGCACTTAATGTATTTCTAAAACTCCACACATATTACTATGTTTCCACTTTAAAAGTTGGAGGAACATTTGCAGTGCTGCATCTTGGGCAATTTTAAAAAGCTGTGGATAAGGAAAGCAAAAGGGGTTGTCCACATAAAGTTTTAAGTCGGGACAGGCTGGCAAATGTGGAAAGTGGTACCCAGAAATGTTAAGAAAGCATAGTGAAAATAACAGTCCTGCTTTTGTAAGTTGGCTGTCAGTGTTTTGTCTGCTCTACAAGTTCCAAGAATATGTAAAAATCAAATATTTAATCCTTTTATTTTTGTCTTAATTCTTTTTTGCATCTGTTTGTACAGCTGACTTTTTTTATACTATTAAGAGAGTGACAAGATGACTTACTACATCTTTTTCCTCATTTTCCTCCATGTCTTCCAAGAGGTGTCTGAGTGTGTGTGTAAAGGTCCACAAACTGAATTATGTTAAATATTGACCAGACTGGCTCGAAGTTAACTGACTGTCCACTTGAATAAATAAAGCAGAACCAAGCTGGTATTTGGAACATTCAACAGAAGGGTTCATGTGTCCCTTTTGTCATGGAAAGGGTTGTCAAGATTGAACAGGATGCCCAGGGAAGCAGTGGAGTCACCATTGCTGGAAGCATTCCCAGTATGTGTGGATGTGGCACTTGAGGACGTGGTTTAGTGGTGGTGCTGGGCTGATGGTTGGACTTGATGATCTTAGAGGTCTTTTCCAACCTTTTAATGATGCTGTGATTTTTCCCCCTGCATGGTCAAGCCTGTCTTTGTCTCCAGCCTTCCCTTGTAACACTGATTTAATTCATGCAGGGAAGACTTCAGCTTCACGGCATTTGCTACAATATCCTACCTGAAGGTGGGACCCAAAGCCCATCTGCTGAGAAACGAGACCCATGTCATCACTATAGAGGGGATAACAAACAGGAAGAGTGTTCACAAGGTATTTATATCTCTACTGATTTGCTATATGGATATCAGCTCCATTATAGCTTATTTGAATAGTTTGGTATCTGCTCAAAGTATTTTTGTAGAATGCAATCAAACAGGATTTAAAACAGACCTCATACTTATTTTCTCTGTCGTGCAGGAACATGGAAAAAGAAGGAAAACAATGTTAGAATTCTAACAGAATTGTTTATAACTTACAGGTCAAACCATCTCAACCTTCAAATTCGAAAGGAAGCAGGGAAAATGCTCAGACTGTTTCAAAGGCTGTCCAGGATTCAGTGGGGAAGAAGTTACAGGAGCATAAGCGGCCTGGCTGTGGGTCTAACTTAAAAGCAAAGAAGCCAAAGCTTGAGGCAGGTGGAGTTGACCAACCAGTGGTTATTGACTGAGTTTCACAGACTACATTTAGGATCTAATCAAGTTTACTTCTCCATGGACAATGCAGTAAGTTCAGTTTGTGCTTTAGTAATTTCTTTTGCATTTTTTTTTAAATAAAAACCAAACAGGGAAACAAGTTATCTAAAAAAAGTCCAGCACTGAAG